GTAGTTTTCTGTAAAAATTGTTTTAGAAATGAGAAATTTTCACAAATACTTCTTTTTAAATTTAGAATGATTTGTTTAGGGTATAGCATTTGAAAAGGAGCAATTTTTATGAAAATAAAAATATTTACAGTTAAGAGTGACAACTCTCATATCCAGTTTTGTTCCTATGTCAGCTAAAGGAAGGGTTTGTTATCTTCAGCTGTACTTGATTTTACAGGTTGTAATATAGATGATAAAAGTCTTAAATCTTTGTGGTGGTTTAGAGATACAGTGGGTGGATAGTTTGGCTGAACCCTTTTGGTTATTATGGAACCATGTCCTGCTCTGTATTTATCTTGGCACTAGAGGGTTTTTTTGTTGTTTTAAATTAGATTGAAAGAATCATGGGAAAGTTGTTGCTTCTTTTTGATTTGTCAGTATTATGGCTAATGGTAAATAATGCATTCTAGTTCAAACAGGAAATCCACTTGCTATTATTTTAGTGATAGTATAGTTACTTTTAGTAATATAAAATCTCCATGAGGTAGACTCTTTTGATGGATACTTGCTATATTTATTTTTATTCTATAAAATGTATTGGCTTACGTAATATACATTATATATTATGTCAGTAAATTATCTGTGGGTTTCTAACGTTAAACCCCTGTATTTAGTATAACCATGGTGACATTCTTCACTAGGAAGAGTTGGAGTACCTCTTTAGGACATAAATGTATAAGTTGATATAGAGACGAAGTTTAGGTAATGTAAATTACTTGAATTGACATAAATAACATTTTTATTAAAAGGTTTTGGAAAGATTAGACATGTTGGGTAGATTGAATCTTACCATTTCACTTCAGTACTTAGTTGAGCACCTTCAGTGTTCTAGGTTCTTAAAATTCAATGAGATTAGTCCAGCTAATTTTGCTTCACAAAGGTAAAAGTTCAGAAGACAAAATGTCTATCGTTGGCAATGAGACATTCTTTAATTTAGGATGCCTACAGATATGTATTTGAATACTAATTTTTTACTTCATTTGTTTATCAGCATTCTGAATTTGTCAGTAAAAAGATTTTTTAAACTATGCATCTTTAGGTTATATTTTTTTTGTGCTTATATTTGTAATTATTATGTATTGTTATAATAGAATGTTGGGCTATCTAGAAGGTTTCCTAGATCCCATTTTTACCTTTTTGTCCTTAAAGATTTTTCTATTGACATTTAAATCAGTGTACAGAGTAAATGTTTATATGTATATACACATACAGTATACTCACTTGTGTGCTTACATATAACTCCACTTACACATATTCATGTTCCTGCTATATTATGCATTAGGAATATGTACTCTTACTTGAAAGTGGAGCTTATCCTGGAAAGAGGGGTAGAAGTTGCAACATTAATTTCATACCCCAACTTAGAGGAATGCAGGGGGAGTAGTAGAAGACACCTAGGACAGCTGATAATCCCTGTAAAGAAGACTGATATTTTAGTGGAGTATGAAAGTTCCAAACAGCTTTCAAAAGGTAGTGTAACTAGGCATTTGTGAGTTAATCTATTACTATTATATGAGAGTAAAGGCTGGGTTGTCCAAATGCCACTAGTCCCACATTAATTCATCATAGTTCAGTGGTTAATGCATGCTGTAGAGAATGAATTAGGAAAGGTCGTCTATATCATGTGTTACCTGCTTATACATGCAACAGCATTGGCACTTTTCTGATTCTAAATTGTTAGGGACTTTGTTCTGACACTTGACTAAAGAACTTATTCCAATGTGAAGTGACTGGGTCACTACAGAGTTGGTGAGCATCAAAATCTTGCTTAGTTTGTTATATAGTTTCCAGATTTGCCAAGACAAAGGCCTTTCAGGAGGTGTTTACAAATGTTAAATGTCTGTAAGGTAACTTCTGGTTTAATTGGCTATTAATAACTTGATCTTGTGTATGAAATCTGGTTTCTAACTAGCTGGCTATATGTTGTACAAAGGATGCCCACATAGTTTTATGGTGGCAATAGTAATTGAGCACATTAGTTACCATTTATTGAAAATTTTAAGTTATACAGAGGGCCTGTGCCAAGTGCTTCACAGGCATTGTTTTTTAATCCTCTAAATGACTGTGAAGATGCAGTTACCCATTTTCTAGAATGCTTGTAAGGAAAATTAGATAATCTGTGTAAACATTTAGCACAGTACTTAAGCACAATATTCAGTCTGTTGCAGTACATTATTTTGGAGGAAGTCTAAGAAAAAAATCTGGTCTCACACTTTACATGAGGATAAAAAAGGGAAGAATATTTTTAATAACGCTTTTCGATATTTGTGGATATTTTTTGATACCACTCCAAACCTACTCAAATGGTAGTTTTTTAGAAGTTATAGTGTGGAATCTGAAACGTTATCAGTGAATTTTCTGAACTTCGTTAGGTTAAAATTCACTGGTTTATTGCACATTCTCTGAATGGATCTTTTACCCTGCTTAATTTTCTAACAGTGTACATTGGTCATTTGGAAAAAACTGGTTTACTTACTGACTTCCCAATACTGCTGCATTTTATTCTACTACAATATATATTTTTTTAAATCATCTTTGCTAATATCACCACTGATCTTAGAAAAGTCAAAAACTGGGAAGATGTCACATTCACAGTGTGAGATATGTTTGCCAAATTTTAAATTTTGTTTTCCATTGATAGTTTATTTAAAAGCATATAAAACACAATCATATATCCTGTTTAATTCTGTTGATTAACATTTACTTTTTGGTGTTTATTTGATTTTCATTGAGATGACAAAGAATTTTAAAACCCATTTAAATGCCCAGTGGAATTTTATCACTGATGACAAAGTGAGTTGTTTTCCCTGAAATGACAGGCTCACTTCATTCATTTTTTAAGAAAATGTCTGCCAAGTAAGTCTGAACTCTGTCTTAAGTAAAAATTATATCCCATGAAGAAAAGCTACTGGTTTAGCTCACATTTACACAAGTGTTTTTGTTGAAACAGCTATGTACTTAGGTATACAATAGAAATTTTTTCATTTTGTTACAGAGAATATTAAAAAGTCATATGCTCATGGTTAAAATTTAAAAATTAGTATTTTTTTACTGCTTCATAATGGAACTAGCCTTTTCACCCCCTTTTTTCTTTTAATTATGAGGGCATAGCACAGAAGAATATGATGATCAGCACCATGGCCTTGATTTGTATTAAGGGGCCAGCAGTTTTATATCCACCATTACTTTTGTTTCATTAGTATAAATGTCAACACAGTGAAACAAATAACATTTTAGGATTATAAAAATGTTTTTACCTCTTAGATCCTCTGAAAGAATTTTGGGGATCCCCATGGGTTTCTATCCTTCAACTATAATATAGCAAGTTTAAGAAGTGGGAAAAATTTGGTGTAGGAATTTGAATATTGCTTCTTTGTAATATCCTATCACAGGTGCCTGCTGATTTTCATCCAGTCAAGAGTTTTTTTCTCTGAGACTAGTTATATTGTCTATAAAAATGAAAGAAAAAAAAAATTCCCATAATGTATATCTTGGTTATCTACAGACTAAGCTGTTAGTTGCAAATTCCTTTGCTTAGTAGTAAAATTTAATCATTTAAAATCTAGACCTTCTTTTTGTATTTATATTTATATAAGCATGTATATTTATTTATACTATATTTTTGCCATGATTTGAAATTGGCATTGAAATATGTGCTTCTATAGGAAGAGAGAAATGTCGGTAACATATGCACATCTCTTTGAACTTCTCAAATGCTAGCCCTTCCCAACTCCAAATTCTAAGCAACTGTTGAGATGAGGAAAGTGTTGAGCAAGTGTTAAACTGCTTGTTGGTGTTTTCTGCCGAGTTCGTTGTTTAGTGTCTGTCCTTTTATCATTTAGCCTTTTTCTCTGAGTTGTGATACCTGCTGCCAACTTCAGTTTGATTTCTTTTTCCTGCTGTAGATTGTCCGGATTTTGATCCTCTGCATGATGTTTGTATATTGAGATCAGCCTAAGTCCTTGCTCTCACACAGACCTCAGTTGTTGACCTTTGCATTTGTCTAACTAGTGTTTATTCTTAGTTGGTTCTAACCTTGGATTTGTCCACTTCCCCAGTCCTTGTCACATGTCTGCATTTGTAATTTATGCCCTGTCATCATAACAAAGACTAACATATATTTGTGTGAAATGTTTAAGCAGGTTTGAGAAATATAGTTTCAAAGTTCTTGTATTTCATAAGGAAATACGATTTAAGATTTTCCAAAAATGTGCTCCTGTTTTAAATGTTTACACATACTGGAAAATTTTTCTTTTTAATATTTTATCACATTTGTACAACATTTTCTCCAAATATTTTTCTGAGTTTCTGTTTCCTATTGTTTATAATATTCTTCATGAAGTAAAGTGGATAGAAAGGTTTCTCTTCTATAAAACCTATCCATTTAAAGAACCAAAATATTGCCCAGCTGGGCGTGGCTCAGCGATTGAGTATCGACCTAGGATCCAGTCGATCGGGCTTCAATTCACGGTCAGGGCATGTGCCCAGGTTGCGGGCTGCAGCTGATCAATAACTCTCTCATCATTGATGTTTCTATCTCTCCCTCTCCCTCTTCTTTCCTCCCTCTGAAATCAATAAAGATACGTGTGTTTTTTTAAAAAATTTAAAGAACCAAAATATTAACATTAAGCCTTATGTATGTCATTATAAAGTGATAGGTAGTGAGAATGCTGAATTACATTGAGATTGATTTTTTTTATTTTCTAGATTATATTTAATGGGGCTCCTTTTTCATTGTCTTGAACTTTTAGTGTTATTGTATGATTTTTCAGTGAATAGTTTTATTATTCTTGGTATCTTCTGTGATTTAACAGTGTATCGCAAACACAGTAAATGCTTGTTTTTTGTTAATCCTCACTGGAGGATATTTTTCCATTGATTTTAGAGTGGAAGGAAGTGGGAGGGAGAGAAACATCGATGTGAGAGAGACACATAGATTGGTTGCTTTCTACACTTGCCCAACCAGGGCTGGGGATCGAACCTGCAATCTCAGGTATGTGCCCTTGACTGAGAATCGAACCTGAAACCCCTCAGTGCGAGGGCTGACTCTAAAACCACTGAACCACACTCGCCACTGCAGTAAATGCTTGTTTTTCATTTTAACTTGAGGTAGTGTGTAGTGAAGGAATTACCTTCCAATCTTTTTCCCTTGGGAAGTTCTTCGAGCTCTTAGCTTTGGTTAGGTGTACACATGGAATGAGAAAGGACAACTGAAAGTCATTTGTGTTAAATCAACCCAGGTGATTAGTAGGTTTGAGTTTTAAGGCTTATAATCTTTGTATATTATTTGAAATATGTATTTTTAATTTTTTTCTTAATCTCTAAAGTTGACTTGTAGTTTCTCTAAGATTCCTTTTAGATATAAAACTCTGTAACTAGATCCCTTAAGGCAGTGGCTTTAATAACTTCCAAACAAAAAGTTTGAGATGATGATGTATTTCAAGAAGTTGATAATCTATTTTATAGTGTTATTTCACATTTAAAAATCAAATTCAAGCTCACTTTTGCACCTGACCCATTATATGACTTTCTTCTAACTATCCAACTTTCTTACCATATTTAATCTCAACCATTTGCTTTACATTGTAGTCTAATAATCTGTTACTGCCCACATTGTCTACCTGCTACCCTCTTTACCATATATTCACTATTCAAAGTCCTACTCCTTATACTTGGGTTTTCTCTCGCTGGTTTTTTGGGTTTTTCCTCATATTCCTTATCTCCCACTGTTTTCTGCTCTTAAAATGTAATGTTACACTATATCCATTTAAAATAATTTTATGGTCTCTATTATGTTCTTGATTAAATGGTGAATTCTTTAATATGGTTATTCCTTGGCTCTCTTTAAAAACATTACTTGGCACGCAGCATGATGAAGAAAGACAAGAAGACCTTCAACCAGAGCCTGGCCAAGTGGAAGCTCTTCATCTACAACCAGACCACTGGAGAGTTCCTGGGGCGCACAGGCAAGAGCTGGGGTTTGATCTTGCTCTTCTACGTAGTCTTTTATGGGTTCCTGGCTGCACTCCTCATATTCGCAATGTGGCTTATGCTTCAGACTCTGAACGATGAGGTTCCAAAATACCGAGACCAGATTCCTAATCCAGGACTTACGGTTTTTCCAAAACCAGTGTCGGCGTTAGAATATTCATTCAGTATGTCTGAACCAGAGTCCTATAAAGGGTACATTGAAGACCTTAAGAACTTTCTGAAGCCATATGCTTCGGAAGAACAGAAGACTCTCCGACTCTGCCCGGATGGACAGCTCTTTCATCAGGAGGGTCCGGTTTATCAAGCATGTCAGTTTCCTCTTGACTTACTTGAGGAATGCAGTGGGGTGAAGGACCCTAACTTTGGCTACTCCAGTGGGAACCCTTGTATTCTTGTAAAAATGAACAGAATAATTGGTTTAAAGCCTCAAGGTGAACCGAAGATATCATGCTCTGGTAGTTCTAAGGGTGGAAACATGACAGCTGTATTAACTTATCCTCCAGATGGACATATGGACTTAAAATATTTTCCATATTATGGGAAAAAACTGCATGTGAGTTATCTACAGCCATTAGTTGCTGTCCAACTCAGCCTCGGTGCTAGCAAAACCCCAAAAGAAGTAACAGTCGAGTGCAAGATTGTTGGATCACCCAACCTGAAAAACCATGATGATCGTGACAAGTTTTTAGGACAAGTTGTATTTAAAATCACAATGCGTGCATAGTAGGAGTTAGAATATGTCCACAGAGTAAATGTTGTGTTGTCTGTCTTCATTTTGTATCAGCCGGACCTGACATTCTAGAATTATGGGACCACCTGAGAGAGAGTTGGGGTGGTACATGACACTGCGGTAGCATTGTAATGTGCTTCCCCATCATAGTGTTCAGTGTCCTCTGAAGTAACTGCCTGTTGCCTCTGCTGCCTTTGGGAACCATTGTACAGTCGCCAGATGGGGCCTGTGAACACCTGATTCTGAATACGTGGGTCTTGTCCTATTTTTTTATGTGGTTTAATTGCCAACTGTCTAAAGCTTAATGTGCTGTGCCATGTAAATATTTTGTAGATTTAACCCTGGTTAATTGTCATATTTTGATGCCAGCACATTTTTAAGGGTAAAATGGTACCTGACCAACATGAACAGCTGCAAGAAATGTGTGTGGAGTTCTTTGTGTGAAGAGGATCACAGGAAATAAAAGTGGGTTTGAAAGGTTAAAAAAATAAATAATAAAATAAAAATAAAACAAAAATAAAAACATTACTTACATATTTATGTAAAAAATATTTTATCCCGCAAAAGAATTTAGAGTATATACTCTAAAAATTAAAAATGCAAAAGGCAATATTAGTAAATTAAGACCAAAGGTAAAGTATATACAGAAATGTATATACAATATATAAATGCTAAACTTGGATCAAATTAACTAACAACTAGAGCCAAATTAGAAACTTGATGAGTTGTGAGGTTAATGTTTTCCACAAACTCCACAGGCCTACTCGGTGATTTGGAGAACTGATATATTTTGTGCAGTTTAGGTCCCAGAAAAAATTTCTCTCTGGGCCCCTATGATGAGGTACTGCATTGTTATAGTAAATAGCTTCTTCAGCTTCCAAAAATAAACAAGCTTTATATTGTTTCTACAGAGTGAAAGTGAAGAGTTTACTGATAGAATGCAGTTGGGTTAAAAAAATTAGGTAGCCTGAATACTCAGTTTTCTGGTGGTTGGTTTATTCCAAGGATAAAATTGAGAACATTTAGAGCAGAGTTTGCAAACTAGTAGCTTTTTAGGCTTAGAAATGTATTTTGTATAGCAGGCATAATGTTGGCCCACATGATGACCATTTATGTACATTTTCTTTAATTTCTCCTAGCTATGTTGGGCAGTCTTTGCTTTTTCAGGTCTTGCAGATATTTTGTTAAATTTGTCCCTGTAGTGGAGGAAAAACTTTACCCATTTCGGTTCAGTGGTTGGGGCTGGTGAATTAAACTGATAAAATACAGATTAACAGGACGGAAGATTTATTATGCTGCATGTGGTAACCTAACAGAAAATAGGTGAAAACACAAAGAAAGCAGTTAGGCTTGGGAGCCTATACACTATTTTAACAAAGGATGATAAATTATGAAGTGACTAGCCAAAGGAAAAGGGATATGGGCTTCTAGGGTTGGTAAATTGTAGGAAGGTAAATATATGGGAAAACTAATGGTAGGTGAGGATTATTTTTTAAGGTTTCTTATGCAGACTTAAGTAGACAGTATCACCAATGAAGCATTTCCAGTGGTTAAGAGTCTTTCTCTCCTGGTACAGGAGAGCAGGATGGAACACTTTACTAAAGGGAAATTCCTGCCCTGGTTTTAGGCAGAAAGGAGGAGGGCATAGAGTTCCTTCTGCATCTGCTGTTTGTCAGTTGTCTTCAATCAAAATAATCCTTATACTAAAGTGGCATATTATGGGGTGACATATTTTGATACCCTTCATCCCCTGAGTGTTTTATGTTTTGTTTTGTTTTTTAATTATTGTAAATGGTAATTCTTTTTATTTTATTTTGTAATTGTATGTTGCTTATATCTAGGAATGCAGTTGGTATTTGTATATTGACCTTGTGTCCTACAGGCTTGCTAAATTCACTTAGTTCTACCAGTGTCTTTATATTTAAAGTATGTTTCTTGTAGACATCATATAGTTAGCTCTTGCCTTTTCATTTGTACTGTCAATCTCTGCCTTTTAATGAATGTATTTAGTCCATTTTCACTTAGTGTAATTTTAATATTTTATGTTTGAGTCTACCATCTTGCTAATCGTTTTCTGTTTATCCCAGTTGTTATTGCTCCTTTTCCCTTTGCTCATGCCTTTACATGATTATTTTTAATATTCCACTTTATTACTTCTATTGCCTGAATACTTCTTTTCATTTTTTGGATGGTGTTTTTGGGGTTTGCAGTATACGTGTTTTAATTTATAGCTACCTTCACATAATAATATACCAATTCACACGTAATGTTAGAAACCTTACACACCAGTATATTTTATGTCTCCCCTATGTCTCCTTTGGGATTATTGTTCTATATTTTATTCCTACATAGATTGGCAATGTCCAAAATAGATTGCTATTGTATAAAAATACTTTCTTAAATGAGGAAGAAGACAGCCACTTTTATATCATTTCTGATGTTCTTCATTTTTTGTGTGAATTCAGTTTCATCAAGTACCTCCTTGTATAATTTTCATCCACTTGAATAATTTTCCTTAATGTTTTTTTATAGTGCAAGTCTGCAGGCAACAAAATTTCCCACATTTTTGTCTGCAAATGTCTTTTCCCCCTTATGTATGAATTATTTTTTCACTGCATATAGTATTCTTGGTTGAAAGATTTTTTTACTTTCAGAACTTTAAAAGTGTCTTGTTTATTTGTTAATCTTTACCCAAGGATATTTTTTCCATTGATTTTTAGAAAGAGTGCAAGGGTGGAAGGGGAGGGGAAGAGAGAGAGAGAACGATGTGAGAGAGACACATTGATTGGTTGCCTCCCACACATGCCCTGACCGGGGCTGGGGATTGGACATGCAACTCAGGTATGTGCCCTTGACCAGGAGTCAAACCCATGCCTGCTGGTTTTCATTCTTTTTTATGAGAAGTTCAGCAGTCGTTTTTACTTGTCTTCCTTTATATATTGTGTCTTTATTTTTCTCTGGCATTTTTAAAGATTTTTTATTATTATTATTGATTTTCAGTAGTTTTATTGTGACATGCCTTGGTATAGTTTTCTTTGGGATTATCCTGCTTGAAGTTTGTTGAGTTTATTGGATTCGTGAGTTTATGTATTTTTGTCTAATTTTGAGAATTTTCAGGCATTATTTCTTCAAATAGTTTTTCTACTTTTCACCTCCCCTCTTCCTGGGATTACAATTACACACTATGTCATATTCTTCTAAAGGTAATAATTGCCTTTGGACATTTTTTTCGGTCTCTTTTCTCTTTGTGTTTTAGTTTGGATCATTTCTGTCTTCTGTCTCAGGTTTATTGATTGGTCTTTTGCAGTGCCATCCAGTGAATTTTTGGTAACAAATATTGTTTTTTCAACTATGAAAATTCTACTTGATCCTTCATTTTCATAGCTTTTGTTTCTGTCTTCATTATGTTCATATTTTTCTTTAAATCTTTGACTACATTTAAAAGACTTTTAAGTCTGCCCTTGCCCATGTGGCTCAGTGGTTAGAGCACTGGCCCATGCACCAAAGGATCCAGTGTTAGATTCCTGGCCAAGAGCGTGTACCTGGGTTTTGGGTTTGCTCCTCACCCCCCAGTTGGGGCTCATGGGACATTTTCTTGCTTCTTTGCAAGTCTAATAATTTTATGGTGAACATTGTAATATTACATTATTGAATGTCAGAGTGTTATTCTCCTTCTTTAAATAGAGTATTGGATTCATTCATTCATTCATTCATTCATTCATTTATTTATTTATTTATTGTCTAGCACTGTGAATCAGCTTCATTATTTTTAAGCATTGGTATGGCATCTTCCTAGTAGCCTGTACTGTACAGTTAGGTAGCCCTACTCTTATATGTGGCCTTTCTGGATTCTCTACCAAATACTCCCAAGTGTTCATTGTAATCCCTCTTCTGTGGCTGGTTGGATTTCCATACATCCCAAACCTGTAGGAACTCCTCTAGTTGTTTATCTTACAGTTCCCTATCTAGTAGTACTTTTCCCAATTCTTCTCTCTGGTATTCTGCCCCAGAGATTTTAGCTTTCTCAGCTTTTCCTATTTCTAATTTTCATCTCCTCAACAAGTCAGAATTCACTTCTCCGCTATGTTTTCCTCAAATAATGCTGGATATGGCAGGAGGATGGGGAAGTAGTAGGGTTTACGTGTTTGTTTCTTTTGAGTTGTATTACCATACGCCTGTTTTGCCTGTTACTCATTGTCTGAAAAGAGACAGGAAGCCTAGTCAAGTACCAGTTACTTTGTTGTGACTGTAAGCCGTATAGTCACTGTACTTAAACTACTGAATTGTGGAGAGAATTATAGTAAAATAGACCGAGTAAGTTGTGGCAAATATGCAGTGAAACATTTTTCATAGCTGATAGTGTGCCACATCTTTCTAGTTCTCATCTATTTAGTTAAAAAATCATTTCATATCGTGTACATGCAGTGTGTACTCAACTGATACAGTGTCATGCAGTCCCACTGCAGATGCTCCTACCACAGATGACTGCCAGTGTTAATTGTTGATAGCATACCATGTTTGTATAGCAACATGTAATATGCTTATATTTCATAGTACATTTTAAGGAGACCTAAACATATTTAGTGAATTTTTTCAAAAATTGCTCTCTATGTTTGGAGGAGTGAATGAATTTTGAAGCAATTTAAAATAAACTTTTAGGTTATTAGTAATGGCAGTCACTCTATTGTCAGCTCTGTAGGGAAGGGATGGACAACTTTTTAAATTACATACTCTCATAGAAAACTTGGAAAATACAGAGTGGTTCAAAGAAAGTTAAAATGAACGATGCTATATTTTTGTATTTTTCTTTCAGTCCATTCTCTATGCACATACAGATATATGCACTTTTTTAACATTGGGACCATGTTATATATCTTAATATTTTCCCCTCACACATTTATATTTTCTGTATCGTTTAATATTTGCTGGAAGTATTAACTATGTCAAGTTAATTTTTATTTTTTCTATTGCATTGAGTATTTTTCTGTTTCCACTGGATTTCAAAAAATTCTAGTAGATTTCTAGATCAAAGAATATTGATTTTGAAACCTTTTCTATTAATTTGATGAATACATATTTATTGTAAAGATTTTGAAGCATAAAGGAAAAACATTAATGTTTTAATATTTGTATCCCAGTCTTTATGCTCATATCTGAAATATTTTTACTGGGCTTGAGAATTGGATGTCCTGACTTTTAATATATGTATGTCAAGCTTTTTCTATTTCTTTTTTTTAAATAATTTTTCTGGTGATTGCATAATATTTTATCTTGAGACTATAACTTACTGTGCATTTATATTGTTAGATACCTGGGTTACTTCCAGTTTTTCTGTTGGAAAACGTTTTTTAAATGTCCTTTGGCTATTTTGCTATTAGAAGTATGGTTTTATTTTTTGAGAGAATATGTATTATGTGAATCTTGGTCAAATGTGATAAAAAAATTTTCAGATTTTTATATGTGCATGTCTTTTTCTT